TTTATTTTGATACCAAAACATTTAAAATAAACTCTGTAGTTCTTGAGATATATTCAATTCATTTTGGGCATGTTATTTTCAAGCATATTTCTCGAAAACAGGCCCAGTGTCCAAGAGGTTAATCTGAGAATTCTGACCTTTTTAATCAGAATTCTGACTTTAATCTCAGAATTGTGTATCTTAATGTAGATGGGCACCATGAAGGAAGAGATGTGAGTTGTTTGGAAGTACCAGTAACACAGTGGTGGAAAATGACGCAATTAGGCAACTTTTTACGTGCTTATGCTATTTTATTAATGGAAGAGCAGAAGGTTATTAAAACAAGAGAGCTAGTTTAGTCTTTAAAACAGACATGGCTATGGCTTGATGCTAACATGTCTGTTAGCTGTCAGAATCCAGTAGGAATTCAAAGATTAAAGTCAGAATTCTGAGACAAAATTCAGAATTGATAGACACAAGTCAGAATTTTGAGATTAAAGTCAGAATTCTGAGAAAAAAGTTAAAATTCTGATTTTTTTCTCATACTGAAATAAAATTTAAAAATCAGTAAACCTTTTTTTTCCCAGTGGCACTAATCGTCTTCCGTATATTTCACTTAAAGTCAACAATAACATCTTAAATATACAGATAAACAAATAAATATGCCAGGGGGTATAATAATACAATACCATAAACAAGTACAGTCAGAAGGAAAGACAAACTTACAAACATATGTGTTTAGGAGTGTCACATATAAGAATGTATACAAACACATATACATACATATATTGTACAAATACAAATATCCTCTACATCGATAAATTGTCCAGAATTTTTTGTTGGGAACAGATTAAAATGTTTTTTTTTGTGTGTCTTTAGGTGAGAAGAGGGTTTAATAGTACTAAAATATTGTTTAAGTTCAATTAAATAAACATTAAAATTTGGCTTTTTATTTTTTTTTTTCAAATGTAAATTTATGTCAATAAAATTTAGCCAAGATAATTAACAGATTGATAAAGAAATGTTTGGAGAACATTTTAGTTTGGAGCTGAAATCCAAAAAGAATGTTTTCCCAACAAAGTTGAAAAATCTTAACGAATATTTGAATCCGCATAGTTACAAAAGTGTTGCCAGAAAAAAAAAAGAGAGACAGAATCAAATGAGAAAAAAAAGAATGTGACAAAAAGTAAATTTGGGTTTGAATGCATGTTTATTTTGAAACATTTCTGAAAAAATAATCAAAAGTCTGTATTCTTAATGTCCAGCAGATGGCGCCAAAGACCTCGTAAGTCTTTTCCCCACAAGGCTACATTTTTGACCCTCTTTGTCTGAAACAACCCACACACTTTTCCACAAAGAATATTATTTTGTAAACAAAATAGTGCTGCCTGACCAGGAGATAATCTGAACTGACTGCATTTGAGAATGATGTGCCACTAAATTCAAGAAATCACTGTAAGGCTACAAGCAGTTTTGGATTAAAATAACAAAAGGTCACACTCAATCAACAAAAAAACAACACTGTTTTTTTCCACAACATGCTGGTTCCAAAGCCATTTGTTTTCATCCACTACCCAAGCACAAAAGGTCAAGAAGTGCTGTAGAGGATTTTGCTCTTAAACCAGAAAAAATACAAAGTTTTATGGATACCACAATGGAGGGATGGAATAAGAAGAGAAGGCCAGACATTCAGAGGAGCAGACATAGTGTGGAGGGCATAAAATTCCATCCATTCTGTGTTATTTTCTCAGGATTCATTCCTTATTTATTAGTTGTTATACAGAAACAGAGAGTGCGGAGAATGAAAAATTCAGACAAGAAGCATGGCTTTTCCTCCTTTCAAAAAACGCACTATTACAGACACAGAAGGGTAATGTCTCCTGCATGCACTTCTTTGTGTGTGTGTGTGTGTGTGTGTGTGTTTGTGTGTTGGGAGCAAGAGAGATTTATGAAGGTGGGATATTTCTCCCCCATCTCTGACACAGGAGAATGAGCCATGCAGTCATAAGATTACAAACCCGGAATAGCTGCCTTACCAAACAAGAACTGTGTCCCTCATCACTTGATTTCAGGAGGGCACAATTAAAAGCAGAACACAATGATGCCTTAATCTAAACCGTTAGAAACTGCATATAAATGTTGCTTTTCACACATGTAAAAATCATAAGCAATCCTGAACCAAGACAACAAAATATTTAGTAACAATGAAAACAACTCGCACAAGAAATACAGGCTATGTCATATATGATGTATACTTTATAAAGTTAGAATATAAAGTTAAAAATAAAAGGACATACATACAACCCTTCTAAAACTTAATTGGAACTTATTTGCATATGAATAAAGGTATAAATATAACAACTTATATGTAGGAAGGACCATGCAATTCCGACTAACCTTGCACGAAGAATCTGTTTTAACGGGTTCAGCTGGTGTTATGCCTCACTGTAGACTCCAAGGTTTTTTCACATTTAGATATATTTGATAAATTGTATTAAAATAATTATGCGAAAAAGCAACCAAAACAGTGTAATCATCAGCTGTTTGTGAGGACTGGAGACAGAGAAGCAAAATCTGTTGGTTTAAAATCCACAATAAATTGATTAGCTCCTGAAACATAGGTTGTTAAACACAGCTGCAACTCCAAAGGCGGGCATTTTTTAAATTGTAAAAATGGAAAGGTAATTAAGGCTTTTGCAGCATGTGAGGACTGTCAAGGAGGAAATGCAGTGTAAAGGGAGATGAGGTCTTTGTTAAAGCCTATACAAAAAATTAATATTTATGGCTGGCTATCCAGATAGGGATATCAGACAGAGATTGCTGATTACGCTGATCCCACTTTAGGATGTTTCATCATTCGTGAAGGAAGTGGTTCTTCTTTACCGTTGCCACATTCTTGCTTAGATTAAGTGGTCACAAAATAGCAATTGAAATAAACAACAATTACTCAATGTGGTTTGCGGTTTCTTTACACAAATATTTTACTATTTGCCATTACATAGTCGACCACATTTGACAGCACTGTGTTAAAAAAGATCTAATTTCATTATATATGTAACTGAACCAAAATCTTTCAACATTATTTGATCAATTCAGAACAAATGGTATTGATTTAAACAAAATTAGAAGTGGAGTAGATTTTACATTATCTTATATGAAGATTTTTTTTGTAATTATCTTTACAAGAAGATAGAAAATAGAAGGATCCCACTTTATTAGTTCAATAATTTCAGCCATCTGCCTTGTTTGTTGCTCAGTAGCATACTTCTGAATAGCATGTTTATAATTGATCAAAATCCAGCTACCCTTCTGTGCAGCATTTGAATATGAGGCAAAATGAGTACAAAAGAGATATAGTACATTAGGCAGATGGAGGAGGGGAGAGTTAGCTTTGCTGGGTGATGCAGAGGTGAAGAGGACGATGACCAGCATGTCGTGACATATTGATTCACATCATAAAAATGTGCTGTGAGGCTGACTGTGGTGACTGCATCTTGATATTTCACCTTACCAATGCCGCCTCTTTTTCTGAACTAAATACAAAACTGTCATATGTGTTTGCAAACAAAGGATAACACATGCATTTGCTGCAACCTGTCATGCAGATCTGTTTTCTATATTGCAGATAAACAAAACAAAGGTAAAAAGCTGTAAGTATTTTTGGTAATGACATCATATTAAACCTGTTCGAA